GGCATCTAGTGTTGGGCTAATGAACTTGGCAGAATAATTGTTTATTTTGATTACTAATAATAAATGTGAACTTTTAACAGTAGTATCTTGTAACGTTCTGCAGTAGTATTTTTAATACATTTCTCTGCCTTGTGTTGTGACAGAGAAAATCAAGTAATGGCCTCTCGTGGCTTATAGCTTTATTCGAAACTAGTCAAACATAAGTGCTGAGCGCTAATGAAGATACTGAATATGCAAAATCCTCTGTGTAGTGTACTCAAACAGAAAGAATATACTGAGCAAAATTGTTTGACAGTCAGGCTTCAAACAGTCAACTCCGAGTTGATCAGATTTTCTCAAACATCCTTATCAAACGCAAATGAACAAAACAGATACCACAAACAAACCAAATCACAGGATCCTCACACAGATCGGCATTACAAAGGTCTTTCCTCTGAAGAATGAAAGCAGAGAGAATGTAGGCTAGAATACCTTTCTGAAGAATGTTCTGGAATTGGTTTTGTTTGAGCCAGGCCTGGACCTGTTCCTGCAGAGACGGATCATCTCTCACAGCTGGATTTCCACCATCCACTTCATCCTTTAACAGCAAAACAACATAGCTTGAGACAAGTTCTGGTTTTCTTTCCTTTTTTGAGGAGTGCTAAAAATGTTATCTGTTATGATCACACCGAAGGCTCCAAAAGCAAAGATGAAAAAGATGAAGGAAAGCAACAGTTGCATACCAGGCAGCTTCAGATGGGGGAGGGACGTCAGAGAGAGACATCGCTCTCTCTCTCACACACACACACAGTATTACACATGGCATTACTCATCCATGTACACAATAGACACACCTCCTCACTGTACACACACTCAAGACTGGAAATTACATAATGGTAGTGTGCGAGGGATATTTAAGACGAACTGCAGCTGAACTCCCAAAACCTCTGCCTGTTACACACACACACACAGCGAATAAACACAGGAAACACAGAGGCTACATATCATTTCCAATAAATATTACATCACGCATCTCTCTCTTTCTGTCACTTCCATCCAGTACGCTTCAGAGATCACGAGTCCTGACACACCACGTCTGACAGCACACCTGTAAACACACTCCCACACATAAACGCTCTCTACTCGCCTCGCCTCGCATTTACATTTTACGGTTTCCCCCTCAGGATTCAAGTTTATCTTGTGCTCTTGAGTAAGTCAGTTTTTTGTTTGTGACAATAGCTGCTGACTGTATGTGAATGTATAAGAAAAAGAAAATTATTGTTACAAATTAATACATTATATATTAATTAATAAATATATATATATATATATATATATATATATAATAATTATTTATTATTATTTAATTATTAATTAAATTACATATATATATATATATATATAAATTATATAAACAAATATTAAATATATATTAATAGGTTTTGCATTTAATTTAAATACTTAAATATATTTATTTAAATATTAAGATTTAAGTGGATAACAAATTTTATTTTATATATTATTTATTTTATATAAATAATATACAAATTTAAAATATAAACAGGTATTCAATACAAGTTATTTAATATATCTTATAATTATTTAATATATTTAATTATTATTATCATCATTATTCTTATCTTATCTCACCATTTTATCTACTATTTATATATCTAATGCCCAGTCAAAGTAGCTGACCAAGTTACATCTCACTGCAAGTCGTCTTCTGTATATAACTGTGTGTGCGAAGAATAAAAATCTTGACATTTCAGTCTGTTCCTCAAACAAATGATCATGTGACTTACAATATAGTGCACAAGTCACTGTTATGATGCTTTATGGTCATATTTGGAGCTCAGTAAGGCTTTCATCAGATGCAGAAGAGCAGCGAGAACATTATTCTGTTTCACGCATGAAGACGTGATGTGATGAGAGACTGATGGCTGATGGACGGAGACACACTGAATAATGAATGAGACGTTCAGCGCGAGCGTCTCTGTCTCTAGAGTCACAGTAATGTGGATCTTCCAGAACGCCCCGTCTGACTGCATTACTGCTGTGATTCACACAAACATGTCACATTTAAATACTTTTGTAATTAAACATAAAAATGCAGAATGAAAGTAAATTATTAAAAAAATAAAAAAATAAAAAAAACAAGACCATGCAAAATTAAAATAAATACATTTAAAACAAATCCTAAAAATGTAAAAAAATAAAATTAAATAATAATTTTAAAATAAAACAAAAATTTTAATTTTAATTTAAATTAAATAAGATTTTATTAAAATAATCCTTTTTATAATGAAACAAATAATATTGTAATAAAACAAAAATCTAAAATTAAAAATAATGATTTAATATGAAACAAAAAAATGTAAAATGAAAATAAATAATTTTAAAACAAATGTAAAAATGTTAAATTAAACCATTTTATAACAAATAATATGAAAGAAATACAATTAAACAAAAATGTAAATTAAAATGCAAAATTAAAATATTTTTTAAAACACAAAATAAAAATGTCCAATTTAAATAAGTAATTTAAATAAAAAATAAAACAAATTATCTTAAAATAAAACAAATTTAAACAAAAAATGTAAATAATTTTTTCAAATTCAAATTTCAAATTCAATCAAAAAATCATTTTAAATCAAATAATTATAATAAAGAAATGTATTTAAAAAATAATATAAAAACAAAACATACATGTAAAATAAAAAAAATCATTTAAAAATAACAAAAGTAAATATTTTTAAAATGAAACAAATAATTTTAAAATAAAAAACAAATGTAAAATTCATTTTAAAACAAAACAAAAATATAAAATTAAAATAAACCAGTTTAAAACAAAAATCTAAATGAAACACTAAAAAAGATATAAATAGCTGGTTTGGCTGGCATCAGACGCTGCAGTTTCTGCAGTGAGTCTAATTAATTCTGAGTAAATTACACTGCTGTCTGACTGTGACGGGCTAATAGAGTGTGTGTGTGTCTGTATGTGTGTGTCTGTATGTGTGTGTCTGTGTGTGTGTGTGTGTGAGTGAGTGAGTGAGTGAGTGAGTGAGTGAGTGAGTGAGTGAGTGAGTGAGTGAGTGAGTGAGTGAGTGAGTGAGTGAGTGAGTGAGTGTGTGTGAGTGTGTGTGGCTCCGCCTCCTCCCGTCAGTCCGGCAAGTGTGTCTGCGGACCGGTTGCCGTGGTAATCTGCATTTTCCCTTTTGGCCTCAGTGAATGAGTGAGCAGTACAGTGAGCGCGAGCTTCATCTGTATGCCGCGCGCCTCTCGCTGCAGACACACAGGGCTTCCCTCAGACAGAACCGAGACTCACTAATCGAGTGAAGAATTAGCTGCATAAAAATACAACACACATCTGTGATTTGCTGAGCTGGTCGCTCACGGCAACAGTCAATCAAATCAGTGTGTGAGTGAATGTGCCAATAGCTGTAATCATGTTGTCATGTGACCAGTGATGATGAGGACTCTCGTCATGGCAACCGAACCGCTCACTCTCTGCATTCATTTTCCCACAATGCTTCACTCTCCAACAGTGCCGTGTCACTTTTAATATTAGTGACATATTATATAGCAGGGTTATTATAGTTAACTAACACTGAAACAAAAATAAAACCATAAGAAAACATTTTCGTTACTTGAAATACGATAAATGTTAACCGAAATGTTTTTTTTTATTTCAGCTAGTTGCCAAGGCAACATTTCTCATTTTAATATATATATATATATATATATATATATACACAATTTTAGTACTTCATGCTTATATTCTATATAGAGATACATAAAAAACAAAACTAATAAAAATGGCAAAAACAGAACAAATTTAATAAAATTTTTACTAAAATGAAAATTTACTAAAAATAAAATCCATTCAAAATATTAATAAAAACAATAATAGTGTCTAAATGATCCTAAAAAAAGCACTATTATTTAGCATAAGCCAGATATTTCTATTTAGCTTCAATTTATTTTCATTTCATATATTTAAGTTTTAGTAATTTCATTATGTGTTTTTGTAAATTTTAGTAGTTTTTGTTTTTTTAAATATTTTTTTAGCTTTTATTAATAAAAATTTATTTTTATGTCAGTTTTAGTTCTAGTAAATTTAGTACTTTAGTTGCTGAGGAATTTATCATTTATATTTTTCATTTAATTTGTTCATGTAATATTTATATTTAATTTTATTTTCTGTACTGAAGAACAGGGGTGTTTTTATATCAGTTCAAAACCTACCGACGATCTTTTCAATAGACGATCATTTCTATTTTAATAAATATTGTGTGTGTGTGTGTGTGTGTATATATAATTCTATGCAGTGTTTGCTAAAAATTCAAACCACCCAGTGAAGTGAGTCCCTCTCTGTGTCTGTAGTTGACGAGTCTGCAGGATTTCTTCGGTGATGACGATGTTTTCATGGCGTGCGGTTTGGAGAAGTTTCGTTACGCTCAGGACGACGCTGCTGTCGGACACGCGGGGAAGAGCGCCGCGGCTGCGTTCGTTAACGGTGAGATCAACACGTATACGAGAGACAGACAGCATTCACACGCTAACAGCACACCCATCCATCTGTCTGTCTGTCTGTGTCTCAGAGTGTAAGAAATCACGACCGTCAGTCCCTCCCAAGACAACTGCATACAAAAGCTCCGGCGTCCCGCGCTCCAAATCACCTGTATCCGGTAAACACACACACTCACTCACACACACACTCACGTATACCCACACACACACACACTGTGAGCAGGCGTCTGCGTCCCCGACGCCCTCCAAAGACCTCAACGATGAAGAAGACCTCAGTCCTGAAGGTAAAACACACACACACACACAAAGACACTCACACACACACACATGTTGGTATTGGTGGTTTATGGGGACTCTCCATAGGCATAATGGTTTTTATACTGTACAAACTGTATTTTCTATCGCTCTACACCAACCCTACACCTAAACCTACCCCTTACAGAAAACTTTCTGCATTTTTACAATCTCAAAAAACTCATTCTGTATGATTTATAAGCTTCTGTACCCATGGGGACCTCAATTTAGGTCCTCACAGTGACACAAGTCCACACCAGTATAGAAAAACTTGTACACACACACACTCACACACACACATACAGACACACACAGACACAGACACAGACACAGACACAGACACAGACACACACACACACACACACACACACAGACACAGACACACACACACACACACACACACTCACACATGCTCAGATCGGCACATTTGCATGTTTCACACAGTTTGCAGGGTTAGTATTGTCAAGTAAAACTAAAACCATGCAAAAATGGTTACTTGAAATAATATAATAAAATAATAAAATTAAATATTGAAAAGGTCAGCATTTTCTTTCAGCTAGTTTACATTTAGTTGATGTACCAAAATAACTCAGCCCTGCAGTAGCTCCGCCCAGAGTGAAATCCTATTGGTCCAAAATCCCACATAACTGCATATTAAACATCAGGTGTGTTCTGATTGGCTGTCGTTGTGAATCTTTGTGTCATTCTCTCTCTCTCTGCAGTGAACGGTAATGAAGTTCAGTCGTCTGTCATCACTGAGAAGTATAAAGTGGGAAAGGTGATCGGCGATGGAAACTTCGCTGTGGTCAGAGAGTGTGTGGAGAGGTAATAAGACACATTATCTCTAGAACTAATGTGAACGGCTGAGATCTCATGTCATGTGTGCTGGTCTCAGGTCTACAGGACAGGAATACGCGCTGAAGATCATTGACAAGGCCAAGTGCAGCGGCAAGGTATGCTGTGTTTTATCTTTAGCGCCGCCTGACGTCCTTCCCTCTTTCTTCATTTCTTTCATGTCATTGAGTCTTTCACAGCGAATAAGGATCCTTTGAGATTAGTTGAAATCAGTGCAACTTTGACCTGCACAGATGAATGTTAAAATGTATTCAGTTATTATTTCCTGATAAAACAGGAAATTATGCACTTTTTTGAATAAGCAATAGCCTTCAGTTTACATTAAACTCGATACGCGCTCCGAAGTTCCGATCTGAATAATGATTTGGCCTGGACGTTATATATATATATGTTTATACACACACACACATTTTTTATATTTTAATATATTTTTAGATATATACTATATTTTTAGACATACACTAGTATATTGATGAGGTCAAGCTGTGGGCATTAATGAAATCATATCATTGATATACTATTATATATATATTTTTTATTTTTTATTTTTAAAATTACATTTTATTTTTAAATGTTCTGTTTTCTCTTTAATTTTAAAGTTTTAGTAATTTTGTTGTGTGTTTTTGTCATTTTTATTAGGTTTTTTTTATGTCTATAGTTTTTATTATTTTTATTTATTAGTTTTAGTTTATTTAATTTTAGTACTTCAAGTTAAACTACAATTTTTAATTAATGTTTATTAATTAATTTTAGTTTATTTAGTTTTAATTATTTTAGTACTTCAAGTTAAACTAAACAAAAATGAGAAATGTTGACCTGGCAACTAGCTGATATAAAAAGTTTAAGTTTTTTTTTACAATTTATTTCATTTCTGTTAGCATTTATTCTATTTCAAGTAATACATTTATTTTTTTGTTTTTTTTTTTGTTTTAGTTAACTATAATAACTGACTCCAATCTTGGGGTCTTTAAATCTGTGCAGTTGTGAAATTAACAGTAGTTTCTAGTAAACATTTTCACATATTCACTCACTACACGACAGTGAAAACACAGCAGAGATTCTGATTGGTTAATTGGTGTTGACAGGAACACCTGATAGCCAATGAGGTGGCGATACTCCGCAAGGTTCGTCACCCAAGCATCATTATGCTAATAGAGGAGCTGGACACGCCCACTGAGCTGTATTTGGTGATGGAGCTGGTGAAGGTCAGTCAGCCGCACACACACACACAGCAGTCCTAGTATGAGTAGTATGTGACAGTGTTGTGTGTTTTCGGCAGGGCGGTGACCTGTTCGACGCCATCACTTCCTCCACGAAGTACACGGAGCGGGACGCCAGCGCCATGCTGTTCAACCTGACCGGAGCGCTGCGATACCTGCACAGAATGAACATCGTACACCGAGACATTAAACCAGAGAACCTGCTGGTACACAAACACACACACACACACAGTCACACACACACACACACACACACACGTGAATGTGCATTAATTCATCACACTCACAAAAAAACTGATTTAGTATTCATCAAAATGAATTAAATGCAAACTCAGAATATGACGCAAACTCAGAATATGACGCAAACCTGCAATAATTAAATATGTTAAATAACACAAATGTATCTAATCCTATTTTATTAAACAATGTCTTTGCTGCTGACCTTTGATGATCCAGTTCAACAATACTAATAAGCAAAAATGACTTTAGATAAACTAACAATTGTGCTT